AAATTGAAGTTCATTTTTTGCATCATGAAAGTTGACCAGTATTGTGACCTTACACATAAATGTTCCCCGTTTGGATAACCAACTTCTTTATACAAAAAATTCCCCGTTAGGATTACCACCCTGTGAGTATAACTCCCCCTTTGGATGACCACCTTTTTTGTATGTAAAACTCCCCCTTAGGATGAGCATCCTGTTTGTATACCAAAGTTCTCCATTAGGATGACCAGCATGCTCATATTAAAACTTCCCCCTTCGGATGACCACCCTGTTTGTATATAAAAACTCCCCCTTAGTATGACCACCCTCTTTGTATTTAGAAACTCTCCCTTAGGATGTCCACCTTTTTTGTGTATGAAAATTCCCCCTAAGGATGACCAGCCTGTTTGTATACATGATTCCCCATTGGAATAAGACCACCCTGTTTGTATTTAAAAACTCTCCCCTAGGATGACCACCTTTTTTGTGTATGAAAATTCCCCCTTGGAATGACCATCGTGTTTGTATACCAAATTCCCCATTGGAATAAGACCACCCTGTTTGTATTTAGAAACTCTCCCTTAGGATGACCACCTTTTTTGTGTATGAAAATTCCCCCTTTAGATGACCACCCTGTTTGTATACGAGATTTCCCATTGAAATATGACTACCTCGTTGGTATTTAGAAACTCTCCCTTATGATGACCACCTTTTTTCTGTATAAAAATTCCCGCTTAGGGTGACCATCATGTTTGGATACAAAAATTTCCCCTTTGAATATGACCCCCCCCCACCAACACCACTGTTTGTATACAAACATTCCCCCTTAGGATGACCACCTTGTTTCTGTATAAAAATTCCCTCTTAGGGTGACCACCCTGTTTGTATTCCAAAAAATTGACCTTTAAAATGACTACCACTGTTTGTATATAAAATTCCCCCTAAGGATGACCACCCTGTTTGTATGCAACAAATTCCCTATTGGAATATGACCATCCTGTTTGTATTTAGAAACTCTTTCTTAGGATGACCGCCTTGTTTCTGTATAAAAATTCCCCCTCAGAATGACCACCACTTGTGTACAGAATTCCCTATTGGAATATGACCACCCT